GGCCAGCCCCCCAACCAATCAGAACACAGCCAAGCCTCCAACCAATGAGAACACCCCCCCACCCAATCGGAACGCAGCCAAGCCCCCACCCAGTCAAGTCACACCCCCACTGGCAGTTAGAATGAAGAAGCAGCTGAAAGCTCACATCACTCTGAGAAGCACAGAGCCGAAGAAGCAAGCCTGAAGATGATGAATGAGACTTCATCGAAACGTTGCCTAGATACTTTGAATCTTACTTCGGCAGAATCTCATCTGCCATCATCATGTAAGTACCCGCAAAAACTTAAGAAAATATATACACACACACACACACTGTTCAAAAAATAAATAAAGGGAACACAAAAATAAGACATCCTAGATCTGAATGAATGAAATATTCTTATTAAATACTTTGTTCATTACATGGTTGAACGTGCTGACAACAAAATTTCACAAAAATTATCAATGGAAATCAAATTTAGCAACCCATGGAAGTCTGGATTTGGAGTTACACTCAAAACTAAAGTGGAAAAAAACACTACAGGCTGATCCAACTTTGATGTAATGTCCTTAAAACAAGTCAAAATGAGGCTCAGTAGTGTGTGTGGCCTCCATGTGCCTGTATGACCTCCCTACAATGCCTGGGCATGCTCCTGATGAGGTGGCAGATGGTCTCCTGAGGGATCTCCTCCCACACCTGGACTAAAGCATCCCCCAACTCCTGGACAGTCTGTGGTGCAACGTGGCGTTGGTGGAGGGAGCAAGACATGATGTCCCAGATGTGCTCAATTGGATTCAGGTCTGGGGAACGGGCGGGCCAGTCCATAGCATCAATGCCTTCGTCTTGCAGGAACTGCTGACACACTCCAGCCACATGAGGTCTAGCATTGTCTTGCATTAGGAGGAACCCAGGGCCAACCGCACCAGCATATGGTCTCACAAGGGGTCTGAGGATCTCATCTCGGTACCTAATAGCAGTCAGGCTACCTCTAGCGAGCACATGGAGGGCTGTGCGGCCCCCTAAAGAAATGCCACCCCACACCATTACTGACCCACTGCCAAACCGGTCATGCTGGAGGATGTTGCAGGCAGCAGAATGTTCTCCACGGCGTCTCCTGACCCTGTCATGTCTGTCACATGTGCTCAGCGTGAACCTGCTTTCATCTGTGAAGAGCACAGGGCGTCAGTGGCGGATTTGCCAATCTTGGTGTTCTCTGGCAAATGCCAAACGTCCTGCACAGTGTTGGGCTGTAAGCACAACCCCCACCTGTGGACGTCGGACCCTCACTCATACTGCTCTCATGGAGTCTGTTTTTGACCGTTTGAGCAGCCACATGCACATTTGTGGCCTGCTGGAGGTCATTTTGCAGGGCTCTGGCAGTGCTCCTCCTTCCCTCCTTGCACAAAGGCGGAGGTAGCGGTCCTGATGCTGGGTTGTTGCCCTCCTATGGCCTCCTCCATGTCTTCTGATGTACTGGCCTCCTGGTAGTGCCTCCATGCTCTGGACACTATGCTGACAGACACAGCAAACCTTCTTGCCACAGTTCGCACTGATGTGCCATTCTGGATGAGCTGCACTACCTGAGCCACTTGTGTGGGTTGTAGACTCCGTCTCGTGCTACCCCTAGAGTGAAAGCACCGCCAGCATTCAAAAGAAAAGCATAGGAGCCAGAAAGCATAGGAGCTGAGAAGTGGTCTGTGGTCACCACCTGCAGAGCCACTCCTTTATTGGGGATGTCTTGCTAACTGCCTCTGCTTTCCACCTGTTGTCTATTCCATTTGCACAACAGCATGTGAAATTGATTGTCAATCAGTGTTGCTACCTAAGTGGACAGTTTGATTTCACAAAAGTATGATTGACTTGGAGTTACCTTGTGTCGTTTAAGTGTTCCCTTTATTTTTTTTGAGCAGTGTATGTTTTCCTATAAACAATTATTCAACTATATACATTTCTTCGTTCATATAATACATTTCTAACATCATCTTCTTTTCATCTCATCCAATTATATACCCTTTCAACAACTCCTTTCCCAACTTAAGACCTTCCTCTCTGCTCCCACCCATGATAGAATTTATCCCAAATTGTGTAGTATGCCAATTCATCTTTGTTTTTCATTTCTAGAGTTAACTTGTCCATTTCAGCGCATAGTAAGATTTTGTTTATTTCTTCTTCTTCACTTGGTATAATTGTCTCTTTCCAGTTCTGGGCAAATGTTATCCTTGCTGCAGTAATAATATGTATAATCAAATAAAACTCACCTTTCTTTCTTTCTTTTTTTTGACATAATTCCTAATAGAAAGCATTCTGGTAGGTGATCTACTTTAAGACCCAACGTTTCCTCCAGCCACTATCCCGTCCTAAGCCAATACTCCTGCGCTGAGAAGGTTTGTCTTTAACAACTCAAGTGGACCAAATTTCCCAGCGCGTTCACTCGCTCAACAGGCCCTTTTGCACCCTTCTGTGTATCCCTTTTTGGCTGGCGGGTGCTTCCATGTCTATTTATCTCACACTTCCTGGCGGTTTGAGTGGGATCCACCTTTTGCTCACCTGGGGAGCCGATTCCAGTTAGAAATCATTCCCCTCTCTTAACTTACCTCTCACGGACTTCAAAGAAAGAGAGAGAGAGAGAACGCGATATGATA